TGCCGATTGACCGCATCCCTAGCCCGCTGCATACGTCCCAAGGGAGCTCTCTGGCCCCAGGCAAAGCTAGCACACGCCTTGACAGGCTCCATCATGGCCTGAAACGCGGGATCATACGTTTCATCCTTATGTGTGGCTAACACTAGCGTAGGCTAAGAGGCCGTGGACGTTCTGCCACAGACCACTCCAGCAGTGCAGCGTAACTTGCATAGCTCCTGTTCTGAGATTCCAGATGCAGAGGTGCCATGTGCAGCAGCAGGGAGAAGCCCTATGCTCCAGAGCGCCGTCACCTACACGCCTGCATTCTTGCGCACCATGAGTACACGCGGCATTCTACGGACAGCTTGCTGATTCTCTTCGCTGCCTGTTTCCTGACCGGTTTGCAACCCGAAAGCTCATGCCCAAGATTCTACAGGCTTACGCCACATCCGCCGACTCCTTGATTCCTGCAGGAATGAGTATCGAGGCCTGGTGGGTTTGTTGGGCTCTTCGGGGACGATATTGGACGGCTCGAGGGCTTTTTTGGACGTGCAGGCCTCTCGGGGGCCTCTGGGAGGCAGTTTTGAAGCGTCTTGGGGGCCGTTTTGGGGCCTCTTCGGGCCTTTTGTGGGCCTCTCGGGAGCCTCTTGGGCGTCTTGGGGGCGTCTCCGGGACCTTTTGCGGCCTCTTTGGGCCGTCTTGGGGCCTCCTGGGAGCGTCTTGGGGCCTCCTGGGAGCTCAGTTCTTGGTCCCCCTCTTGGGCCTCTGTCGGGCCCGTTTTGGGCCGCCTCTTGGGCCGTCTTGGGCGTCTCTTGGGCCATCTTGGGGCGCCCAAGAGGGCTGTCTTGGGGCCATCTTGGGCTTCTTGGGGCGATCTTTGGGCATTCTTGGACCGTCTCGGAAGCGTCTGGGTCCCCTCTTGGCCTGTTTTGGGGCCCTCTGCCCCCCCATGGCGCGTTCGGTCCGGGGTCGTCCGTGGCCGGGAGGGGGGGTCAAATTCCCGGTTTGGGGTCCCTTTGGGGGGATTATGTGGGGGGAGCAGTCTCACACGCCTGGAGACCCACAAAGGGGGATCGGCGGATTTTTCATCCACTTCTTGGCCGTGCGACGCAGCGGCCTAGCGCGCTGATTAGAGGACTTCCAAACTGATCTGGAACTAGTAGCATGCCCAGACTTTTCCGGTTGCAAGGCGTTGTTCGCCTCCGAAAGCTCCGAAGCTTCACTCGAGGCATTCCCAGTCCACTGAAAGGTACTGTCATGAACTAAAACCCTGGGCATTACCTACGAATGCCTCTAGTGCATCTTGGTGATGGCGCCAAGCGTCAGTACATTCAAGAGTGTGGTGGCGTGCGTGCAGCCCGCAATGGTGCCCTGCGTGGCCGTCGTCGGCAAACTCCAGCAGCCATAGGCCTTGATGTCCCTTTGGCTGAGCACAGGATTCTAGCAGCATCCATAATAGCTTTAGAGGATATTGTAAGCGTACAGCTTCACGCATGAAAGCCACCTTCTCGAAGCCCTTCCACGCATCTAAAACAATACTGACCGAGCGTTCTCCTAGCCTATGTGCATCTTCAGCTTGTAGATTATGCTCATATGCTGCAGCCGAAGACGAGGACCCCCGACGATTCTCCCAAACATGTCGGCTACCATGGCAATGAACCCTGCTCCTGGAAACCTGCCGACGCATCCAGGGCCAGAGTCGAACAGGGCTATCGACCAGTGTAATGGGGCGAGCCCCCCTAGCAGGTTTGCCGATCCGAGCCATCTCATTCACTATCTGATCCCCTGGCTACATAAGCAGCCCCTCACATTGCATAGATAATTCTGCCACTGCCTGCGGCCCTATATCATATGCATATCCAGAAGTATGCGGGTGAATCCTGGTCGGCCCTGTGGCCGTCTTCCAGGAAACGGTATCAATGGCAGCCCGCACACAATGTCACATACATAAAGGGCAAAGCAGGCCATGCTGAGTGATCTTGTGGTACTTTCATGCGCTGTGGGTCATGGCATGTCCATGCGCTCCTCCATTTCCGCATCTCGTCATCAGCCGTCTGACGTGGTTGCATACCCTGCGTGTCCATGATAGGAATGGGAAACTCGATGGGAGCCGGCCTTCGCGGCTAAACGTAGTATTGACATGGTGTGGTGACGTTAACCTGGCCGGCCAACTGAGTTTCAGAAAAAACAGCATACCCTGAGTGTCCTGAGTGTCCATGATGTTGGCTTGCAGTGCCTGCAGTCGTGTGAGCCGATGTGCCTTGCCAGCACCATTGTGAGCGGCTGTACTCATAAATTCCTTCCACTGGCGTTCACTGGCTTTGTCGAGCTCAGCGTGATGCCCATTCGCTTTCTCAACAATGAAATTCACGACATCCTTAACATCATGCCTGCCAAGCGCCAGCAAACCAGATAAGAACAACCATTTAACATCCTCATTCAGCATGTCGAGAGCCTCCGGTTGCTTCAAATTCCTGTGGACAAGGCCTTCAAACTCCTGCAGTGAGACAATCAACTTCGCCATGGGTTCAGTATGCTTGATCCTCCTGATCGTGGGAAGCCTGCGATCCTTGCAGGAGTCGCACCCTCTAACAAGCCGCCATCCATTTCCATCATGCCGTCCAGTCCATGGCGAGGCATACGCAGGTGGGAGCACGTGCGTGTCATTCTTGCATCCCATGATGGACCTGTGCTCCTTGATCAGCTTCGTCCAATAGGCACTCACTCGCATCGTGTGCTTGGCCTACTTGGACGCAGCAGTCCAGGCCCGTCCAACATGCGACAGCTGTGGTCTGACCTTTGGCGCCGTCAGCTTCGCCTGCGCATGCTTGGCACGAACAGGTCCGCCACGTCCTCGATACGCCTGAGGTCTATCCCCAACAATGTCAAACCGACCAAGAAGCTCACCATCCACCATAGTGGCCGCGGGATCCCACGCGTGCGTGAGCTCCGTGATGTCCTGCGCCTTCCGTACCGCCACCAGCAGATGTTCCCAGGGCAAGGGCGGCCGTGAGCAGCCCACATTCGGTCTCATCGGCAGCGCCCTTAGGCTCACAAGGCACACGCGGCCATACAGGGAGATCACCATCAGACACAGGAGGACGAACCGGCTTGTGCACAGGAAGGTTGCCATTCTCATCGGCAGCGGGTGGCTGCAGCTTGGTGGCTGACCTATCAGACGCCACGACATAATCATACCTACTGCCCTCCGAGCTGTTGGTGGTTGCGCGCGTGACCATCGTGGGTACCAGAAAGAGACTGCGCAAATGCTCCAGCCAAGCCTGCCCATCGAACGTCGTCACGGACATATTCCAACCACCACCAACAATCCATGGCATGCCCATGTCGTTGAGCCTGCCGATGTAGCACGTGAGAGCATATTGCAGCGCCTGATTATCAATCCAACGCTGTCCTGGAAATGTACAGAGATAGCTACCAAACCATCTTCGCATCCCCAAGCCAGCTTCGCCGCCACACGCCTGTCAGGATGTATGATAGGGGATTCGAGGCCAGGAGTTGCGATGATGGTGATCTTAGTGGGCACAGCCGCAGCCACACCAGCAGACAAACCTCCATTCTCAGTGCGCAAAGAGGGAGCATGCAGACCATACTGTTCTCGGTCCCTCGTAGAAGAAGCCAGAGAGGTAATGCCAGCGTCGCTGGTGCGCAACTCCTGAGCTAACACCGTAGTCACATAGCCTTTGACCTGCATCTCACCAGCGGCGCGTACGCCACCGTCTCGTCCTGACTTGTGCTTTTCATATAGCCCGTGTCGAGCGAAACATGTGGAGGATAATGAGGTGCCGTTTTTGTCCGACGCCTCCATGAGAGTAGCCCCCGCAGCTGTGGCCGTTGGAACTTCCGAACCGATATTGGTGCACGCCATGATGCCAACAGCAACTGCCATCAACATACTTTGCAGCACGGACTTCTCAGTATGCCTGGAAAGTATTGAACCTGTCCACGCCGCACACTTGTAGCAACTGGATGGCTGCATACCGAATGTCCTGCTCTCCTTCAGGCAAAGGTCCCCCCGCCGCCTCCAACATGATTTTGAGCTCGCCAATCTCCACCCTGGAAATGCGAGGCCCAGCTGGCTGAGGTACTGGAGTCTGAGGAGCAGGCACAGGAGTGGAGGAGGAAGTGTAGTGGAAGGGGGAGGGCGAAGACGAAATGGATAATTACGTAGATGCAGGAGAGAAGGATGACGACGACGATCAAGAACAACTCGACGACGACGCCGAAGGCGCAGGCGGATCTAAAATAGGTGATCGCGCGATCGCTCTTAGGTGCCAATTTGGCTTGAAAAGCGCTGTTTGGGGGATACAGGGCTTTGGTTATGCTTCCACTCTGTGTGCAGGGCTGTCGATCTTGAAGAGCCTCAGGTGGCCGCAGGGGAAGAGGGGGAAGGGTCCGAGTGCAGAAACGTTTCGCGGGATGACACTTCGGCACGACCGCTCCATGACGCCCTCACGCACGCCGACAGGCTCGGCCGATTTCGATATTGAGGGTGCACGTGTGTGTGTGTGTGTGTGTGTGTGTGTGTGTTTGTCAGGGGGCCACATGCGAACCCTACCCCTACCCCCCACGATTTCTGAGGCGGAGGGTGGGGTTCACTTCGTTCGGGAGCTCCCGATCGACGTGAACCCCACCCTCCCCCTCAGAAATCGTGGGGGGTAGGGGTAGGGTTTGCATGCGGCCCTCTAGTGTATGTGTGTGTGTGTGTGTATGTGTGTGTGTGTGTGTGTGTGCACTTGCGTGTGTGGGGTGGTGTCCGTGCATCTTGCTCAAGCTGGCGCCGCTCCCCATGGCGGGCCGCAGGCGGCCCGCATCGAGCGTGGCGGCGCGGCCAGCGTGCCGCGCGACACCGCCGCCCTGCGCTCTGCTGGTGCCCGCGTCGGCACCGCCATGGGAAAAGCCGGCGGCCGCGGACGCGCCCAGGGCCCGGGGCCGTGGCCGTCGCCCGAGCTGGCCCCAGCGGCCGCCAGCGGCGGCCCGGGCCCGCTGCCGCCGCCGGGTCGCGGGAAGGGCGCCGGGCCATCGCCGGCGCCAGCCCCGACGGCTTCGAAGGGCGGCCCAGCAGGCCCGCCGCCGCCTGGGCGGGCGAAGGGGGCGTCCGCACCACCGCCGCCACCGCCGCCCAGCAGCGGCAGGGGCAAGGGCGGCGGGTCTGCAGCTTGGCAGAAGGGCGGCGGCGCCGCGCCAGAGGGTGCCCGCCACGACGCCTCTTGGCTGCCCGAGCAGGCTCCTCGCCGCACCCGCCCCAGGGCGCTCACTGTGACCGGCTGGCGGGATGACCACCTGCAGCTGGCGCACCCGGCGGTGGCGGCGAGCAGCTCGTCGCCTGCCAGTCCAGCCGCTACCGTGAAGCTGCCTTGGTCCTTGCTGGGCCTCTCGGAGGCCCCCGCGACTGGCCGGCCGCCGCCGCTGTGGCTGAAGTGGCGCGCTCACTGTGTCAACGCGGGCAGCACCGTCGCCGAGTTCACCTCCGGTCCTCCCAACACCTGGCACGTGGAGCCCTCGGCCACGAGCCAGCACCTGGAGCTGAAGACGGGCATCGCAGAGGTGAGCCTCGCCGTCGGCTGCGGCTCGTGCCTCACCGCCGAGTGCGCCGCGGGCGCTGCCAGGCCCGCTCGGCTTCACCTGGCTTCTCAGTTCACAGTCTGTCTCGAGCACCGTGAGTCCGAAGGTGGGCTGCGTTGCATCTGCCCCGAGGCCGTCGCCGCGGCCGAGGCCAGCGCGGGCGGCCTGGGCAGGAACCAGCTGCGGACGCTCGAGGCGGAGTCCTCGCGCGAGTACGCCAGGAAGTGGCGGGGCGTCGTGGAGGTCGAGGCCGCCGCCTCGGCCGTGGACGACGCGGCAGGGCGGCTGCTGCTGGGAATCTGGATCGACTGGATACAAGACGACACCTCGACGGCGGGGGGCGCGGGCGATGGCGAGTGGCTGGGCTCGTTCGAGGTGAACGCGTCGCTGATGAGGGCGCATCGTGTGAAGTTCAGGTCGGCCTTCGCGGATGGCGAGTTCGGATCCTCATGGTTGTGCATTCGGAGGACCAGGCGGGAGGACGGCAGTCTCGCCTGGGCAGGGCACGGCGCTGTCATCCGCGCCCGGTTCAAGGACGACGAGGCAGACCTCACCTTCGCCGACGAGGACGACAAGTGGCTCGACATGGGCCAGCGCGCCATCAGCGTGAAGTTCCGGCTGCTGCCTGGGAGCTCCGACCCGGCACCGAAGCCCGGCTTCTTCGCCGTGGAGACCATCCCGAAGGCGCTGGCCGAGAGCTGCATGGCGGCGTCGCTGTCGCAGCTGCCAGAGGCCCCGCTGGCCCGCGCGCTTGTGCTGGGTGCGAGGGACGGTCTGCCGCAGCCGCCGGCAGGCAGCGCGGAGGCCGAGCTGACCGCGTGGGCGCTCAATCCCTCGCAGCTGCGCGCAGTGCGGTACGCCCTGGCGCAGCCGTTCACCCTCGTGCAGGGGCCGCCCGGCACGGGGAAGACGAGGACCACGGCGGTGCTTGCGACGCTGCTGGCGCGCCGCAACAGCGAGTCGGGCCTGAGCCGCGCCGTGCTGTTCTGCGCGCCCACGAACCGGGCGGCGGACTGCGCGGCGCTGTTCGTGGCGAGGCTCCTGGCAGAGCGGGCACATACGCAGCTGACAGAGCGCCTGGGGGAGGACGGGCAGGTCTGTGCCGTGTGCCTGCTAGCTGGCCCAGACGTGGTGACTGCTTGCGGCCATGTGTTCCACAGGTCGAGAGAGAACAACCCACCCCCACGCCCACCAGGATGTTTTTTTTGGTATTGTTCTGGAATGCTTGTGGACTCAGTCGACACGCCCCCATGGCGACAATTGCGAATCGCGACGTTTCCAGCTTTACAAATCGTTGTGTAAGCCCTTGATCGTCTCCATAAACCAGTTGTTTGTGCGTGCTTTATACACGCGTTTTTGCGCTTATTGGATTGCGCCGTTGCACGTGGCCGATGGCGAGGTTTGAGCAAGGCCCCAGGCAATTTCGTGCGCTGCATTTTGTATTTATGAAACAGCTGTGGCTGTTTACTAAACATGTTTTGGTTCCGCTTCAGGTGCTCTTACCTGGTAGAATGTTGGTACCTCGGGGGCTCACTTTGCACGTATCCCGGAGATTCCTCGGGTTCCCCGCCCCCCGGTGCCTCCGATTCTTACGTTGCCGGTTGCATTGCCTGGGTTCCCCAGGTTCCCCGGCTCCCTGGGTTCCTCGGGTTCCCCGGGTTTCTCGGGTTCCTTGCGTTCCCAGGTGGGTTCCCCGGGCTCCCCGGATTCCTTGGGTTCGCGGTCCCTCGGGTTCCTTGGGTCCCCCGGATTCCTCGGGTTCCCCGGGCTCCTGGGGTTCCCCCCGGGGTCCTGGGGTTCTTCGGGTTCCTCCGGATCTTCGGGTTCCCCGAGGGTTCCTCGGGTCCCCGGGTTCCCCGGGCTCCCTGGGTCCTTCGGGTTCCCCAGGTCGGATCCTTGGGTTCCCTGGGCTCCCTGGGTTCCTCGGGTTCACCAAGCAATGCCAAAGCCATTCCAAAGCCATGCCAAAGCCATGTGCCAAGCAATGCCAAGCACTGCGCCCATGCAAGAGGAAGCTTTCCCCCGATTGGGGTCGCGCCGGGTTCATGTTTTTCCCTGGCCTTCGGCGGTTGCGTTTTTCGCATGTTGCCAGGGGCCTCTCTTGGGGCACAGGCAGCTGACGAAGGTCGTCGGGCCGCAGGCTCTGGAGAGAAGCTTGGGAGATATGACATGTGATGTGGTGGGCGTGGGGGTGGCTTGGCTCGCCTTCGACAGGGGCTGCCTGACGCAGGCGTTGCAGGTCAGCGACAAGTGCCCGATCTGCCGGCGGCAAGTGAAGCACGCGGACAGCGGCCTGCGCATCTTACGCATATACGGCGCGGACGCGGAGAAGGCGGAGTTTCCCGTGCCCCGGAGGAACGAGCACCCGAACGTGGACGTGCGCAAGCAGGTGGTCGTGCCCGAAGAGATGCGCCGCTTCACGCTGCACTGGCGCTGCCACGCCGCGGTGGAGGGCGAGACGTCCACGAAAGAGGCCATGAACACCCGCAGGGCATACAGGGCTATGATCGAGCACGGCCCTCGCGGGCCCCGCTCCGGAGCACTGCGGGCCGCCTACCAGCTTGCGCTGGCAGATGCCAGGGCCGCGGAGTTGCGCGACGCGGACATCGTGTTCACCACCTGCGTGTCGTGCCGGCGGATGGCCGTGTCGGAGGCGCTGCAGCGCTGCGGGGGGCTGCAGTTCGAGCAGGTGATCCTCGACGAGGCGGGGCAGGCCACGGAGCCAGAGTCTCTGTGCCCGCTGACCTTCGCAGCCTGCGCGCAGCAGGCCTGCCTGTTCGGCGACCACCTGCAGCTGCGGCCCATCCTGAAGAGCCACACCGCGAAAGTGGCCGGGCTGGGCGTGTCGCTGTTCGAGAGGCTGGCCTCCGCCGGCGGTGCGGGCGGCGACGAGGGGCCCCTGTGCTTCCTCGCGCAGCAGTACCGCATGCACCCGGAGATCAGCCGCTTCCCCTCGCAGCACTTCTACTCCTCGAGGCTCCTCGACGACGACAGCGTCCTGGCTCGGCCCCGCGCTTAGACTGCGTGGAGGAGCGCTGGGAGCTATTTTCCTAACAGCGAAGACTGATAGGCTGATAGGTTTCTAGTGGTCTCAAAAGAGAGCATCATGACTCCCCAGGGGGGTCTGGGCAGATGCCGGACGGGTGCCGCGGGAATCCGGGGACTGCCGCGGGAATCCGGGGACTCCTTTTTTAGCCAACAGTAACGCACTTCGTGGTCTTCGGGTTCCCAAAATTCCATTCCTGGGCATGGTTTTGAATGCCCGGAGCCAACTGTAGGCCACTTCGTAATCTTCGAGTTCCCAGAACTCCATTCCTGGGCATGATTTTGAATGCCCGCAGCCAACTGTAGGCCACTTTGTGTTCTTCGAGTTCCCAGAACTCCATTCCCGGGCCACATTTTGAATGCTGAGGCAGGCTGATGCTGAGGCTGAGGCAGGCTGAGGCTGAGGCTGCGGCTGAGGCAGGCTGAGGCTGAGGCTGAGGCTGAGGCTGAGGCCGACTGGCTGAGGCAGCTGAGGCAGGCTGAGGCGAGGGTGAAGGCAGAGGCTGAGGCTGAGGCTGAAGCAGGCTGAGGCTGAGGCTGAGGCTGAGGTCAGGCAGCTGATGCTGATGCAGGCCTGAGGCTGAGGCTGAGGCAGGCTGAGGCTGAGCAGGCTGAGGCTGAGGCCGAGGCTGAGCCGACCGGCAGACTGAGGCTGAGGCTGAAGCAGGCCTGAGGCTGAGGCAGAGGCAGGCTGAAGCTGAGCGAGGCAGGGGATGCTGGGCAGCTGAGGCTGAGGCTGAGGCTGATGCAGGGTGAGGCTGAGGCAGGCTGAGGCTGAGGCCGAGGCTGAAGGCAGACTGATGCTGAGGCTGAAGCAGGCTGAGGCTGAGGCTCCCACGCGCCCGACCCGCCCGACAGGGGATCGCCCGCCCGTCGTGGGCTCCCGCCCGGGGCGCCCGAAACTTCCTTCAGGAACGGCGCTTTCGCCTAGGACTTCCTCGAACGTTCACGCTCTTACCTTCCTGCTCCTCCTCCTCCTCCCTCGTCCCTCCTCCCTCCTCTCCTCCCTTCTCTCTCCCTCCTCTCTTCCCTAATACTACTGCCTTTCTGCCCTATCCCACTCTCCCTCCTCTCCCTCCTCCCTTCTCCCTCCCCTCTCCTGCCTCCTCCCTCCCCTTTGTTTTCCTCTCTCTCTCTCTCTCTTTTCCTCTACATTTTTTTTTTTTTTTTTTTGTTCTCTCTCTCTCTCTTTCTGCCTCTAGTCAACCGCCCCCCTCCTCGCTCCTTCTCTCTTAGCGTTTTCCCTCTTCCTTCGTCCCTCCCCTCCCTTCCTCCCACTCTCCCTCGTTCTCCCTCTCCTCTTTATGCAGGGCCCACACCAATTCCAATGGCGGGCACATGTACGCCCACGAAAGATTGTCCGCCCGTTCAGGTTTGCCCGCCTGTCTAAGCCCGCCGCCCCCCGCAAAGAGAAATAATCCCCCCAAAAGGGGTGTGGTCGACAAGAAAAGGGGCGGGTATCGAGGGCGTGGGGAACTCGTTTTGAATGACACGCGGGCAAGTAAGAGCGAACCGTCTTATACTGATCCTCCTGCTGTTGTTGTTGTTGTTGTTGTTGTTGTTGTTGTTGTTGTCGTTGCTGTTGTTGTCGTTGTTGTTGTTGTTGTTGCGGCGGTTGTCGTTGTTGTTACCGTCGTCGCTGTTGAACTTTCACCTGTGAAGAATAATTAGTGTTGACCCCCCTCACTGGCGCATGCTGTTTTTTATTCAATCAAAGTGTGCCCTCGACGCTCGCACCCTGTTTTTGGAAAAGGGAAGTCTTGAAGCTCAAACTGTGCCCTTGGCCCCCGGGATTGTAGCTGCGACGGCTTCCGCTTGAGATTTCTTCCAAATTTACCGAGGACCCCCGCTCGTAAGATTTCCCCACAATTTACTCAGGATCGGTGCTCCCGCCTGTGACTTTCTCGCAATTTTGTCAGGACCCCCGCTCCCATCTGAAATTTCCTGACAATTTATTTAGGAACGGCGCTCCCGCTTGAGACTTCCTCGCAATTGAAGCAACATTTCCTCTCACTTTAACCAAGACCCCCGCTCCCGCCAGAGAGCCTTTCACATTTTATTCAGGAATGGCGCCTTCGCCTGTGACTTCCATGTAATTGATTCAGACATCGCGCTTTAGACGCTCAAGAAACACGCTGTGCCAAGGACGCCGTTACAATTTACTTAGTAATCGCGCTCTCCCCATACTCAGGCACCCCGCTTGAATGTCCCACCCGCCCGACCCGCCCGTCAGAGGATCGCCCGCCCGTCGTGGGCTCCCGCCCGGGGCGCCCTAGACTTCCTTCAGGAACGGCGCTGCCGCCTAGGACTTCCTCGACCTTCTCCCTCCTCCCTCCTCTCCTCCCTTCTCTTTCCTTCCTCTCTTCCCTAATACTACTGCCTTTCTGCCCTATCCCACTCTCCCTCCTCTCCCTCCTCCCTTCTCCCTCCCCTCTCTTGCCTCCTCCCTCTCTCTCTCTCTCTCCCATCTCTCGTTCTCTCTTTCTCTGCCTCTCTTATCTGTCATTCCCAACCATCCTGTGGTGTTGGGTCCTCGTTTTGAAGAGACGGTGCCCCGCGTTCTCCCTCCTTCCTTCCTCCCGCTGCCTCCTCCCCCTCCCATCATCATCATCATCATCAACACCCATTTCGGCACACCCCTCACACGTTTCGTGGCTCCATAGGGAGCTCCACCGAAGGCCCCAGTGCCCGCGGCCGCATGCGTCACCCACACCCATTTCGGCACACCCCTCACACACCCCTCACACCCCGTCACACGTTTCGTGGCTCCATAGGAGCTCCACCGAAGGCCCCAGTGCCCGCGGCCGCATGCGTCACCCCAAACCCACCCCCCATTTTCGGCACAGCAAAAGCCCTACACACTTTTCGTGTCTCATGGGGAGCTCCACCGAAGGACCCCAGTGCGCTGCGGCCGCATGCTCCCCAATTAGCCCCATTCGGCCACCAATGATCACATACTTTTTCGTTGGCGTCCCATTAGGATCTTCCCGAAGGCCCCAGTGCCCTCGGCCGCTATGCTTCACCCACACCCATATTCGGCACAGCCCCTCACACGTTTCGTTGCTCCATAATGGAGCTCCACCGAAGGCCCCAGTGCCCCGCGGCCGCATTGCTTTCCCCACGACCCATAGTTCGGCACGCCCCCTCACACGTTTCGTGCTCCGATTAGTAGGCTCCACGAATGCCCCAGTGCCGCGGCCAGCATTCGTCCCCCCCAATCCATAATCTTCGGCACACCCCTCACACGTTTCGTGGCTCCATAGGGAGCTCCACCGAAGGCCCCAGTGCCCGCGCCCGCATGCGTCACCCACACCCATTTCGGCACACCCCTCACACGTTTCGTGGCTCCATAGGGAGCTCCACCGAAGGCCCCAGTGCCCGCGGCCGCATGCGTCCCCCACACCCATTTCTGCACACCCCTCACACGTTTCGTGGCTCCATAGGGAGCTCCACCGAAGGCCCCCAGTGCCCCGCGTCCGCAACTTGCACATCTACACTCATGTTTTCGGCTCAGGCTGCAGACGCTATTCGTGGCCCCATAGGAGCTCCCCGAAGGACCCCAGTGCCGCCGCCGCATGGCGTCCCCCACACCCATTTCTGGCCGCACCCCCTCACATACGAGACTGCACGTTTCGTGGCTCCATAGGGAGCTCCACCGAAGGCCCCAGTGCCCGCGGCCGCATGCGTCCCCCACACCCATTTCGGCACACCCCTCACACGTTTCGTGGCTCCATAGGTAGCTCCACCGAAGGCCCCAGTGCCCGCGGCCGCATGCGTCCCCCACACCCATTTCGGCACACCCCTCACACGTTTCGTGGCTCCATAGGGAGCTCCACCCAGCCGCCAGTGCCCGCCCGCATAGCGTTCCCCCACAAACCATTTTTTTTCGGCACACCCCTCACACGTTTCGTGGCTCCATAGGGAGCTCCACCGAAGGCCTCAGTGCCGCCGCCCGCATGCGTCACCCCCACCCATTTCGGCACACCCCCCGCATTTCTCGCACGGCAGGGTCATCACCACGGTGGCGTGCCAGGGGCGCACCATGCGCGAAGGCGACGGGGCGGGGGAACGGCGCTCCGGGGGCGGCCAGACCTCCGGGGCGCGAGCAGTCCGCGGCCAGACCATCTCTCGGTCCTGTGGACTCTCGCCCTGGGCCGTCGGCTGCCCGGCGCGCTGCTCCCTCGGTCGACGTCGCCCAGGCGTGATCCTGGATTGCGGCCGCCACGAGGTAGGGAACGGCAAGAAGGAGGACGACGACTGGTGGCTGGAGCTCTACGTGCTGCTCTCGCGCGCCACGCGCCACGAGGACCTCCTGCTCATGCGGGCGCCGCGCATCGAGTTCTTCCTGGCAGGGCCGCCGCAGGGCTTGCGGAAGCAGCTGGAGCAGTTTGCGGCGCGCACGCGAAGCGGTGCAGGAAGAACGGCCCTCGCCAGGGAGCTCGGCTTCACCGAGTTCATCCGCGAGGCCTGACCTGAGGAGCGTCTCCCCCGAGCCGCGCCTTCTCTCGACTGCCCGACTAATTGTTTGGCCTCGCGCCGCGGACGACCCGCGCGCGTCGCTGGGACCCTCTCGGGGCGACCAGCGCGCGTCGCGGGAACTCCGTGCTGCGGGGGGCCCGGCGCCTCGTTCGCCCGTCGTCGCTCTGCCCAGCGGTCAGAGACTGGCCCGCTATCAGCCAGCCAGTTAGCTAGTCAGCTCTCTCTGCTTCGCGCAGCGGACGACCCGCGCGCGTCGCTGGGACCCCGCCCGGGGCGACCAGCGCGCGTCGCGGGGACTCCGCGCTGCGCTGCGCCCGCAGCCTTGGATTTTGGAGTGCGCGGGCAAAGAGGAAGGAAAAGAAGAGCCGAAAGCGGGCGCGATCCTCGCAAGAGGCGTGCCGACATGGGCGTCGCGACGTGCGGACGCTGCCGTCGGGGTTCCCGCGGAAGCTGCCTGCGGCGGCCACGCCCAGTGTCGCGTG